CATTGTATAGGCCACATATGCATTCAATACGCCACTGCGCTTCAGAGTAGGAGTCGACTGCTGCTGCTCTTCTCTGAACCTAAACGCAAACAGACTTTATCCTTTTGAAGTACTCGCTTCGTAGTGTACATCGGTTACAGCGTTCTGAAAGTTACCTCAGTACAGAAATGCTGACTCATTTTTATGATGAGGTACTACTAAGAATTAGTCATCGGGCTAGTAGACCGGTGTCATTGGTTAGTTATCGGGTTTGTTGATGAAAAAAGGGTCTCATGAGTATATGCATTATTCCCAAGACTCACACATAGGTATTGCAACGAATGTTATCCGGACCCTTTCTCGACCACCATCCAATGTAATGAAACAGCTCATCTAGTTGCCATTCGAGATAACGATTTTACGGAAAGACTTACGTCAAAGCTATGTAGCGTCTGATTATGGTTACATAAGGAGCACTAGGAAGCCGTTCTAATAGAGGCCTCGGTTTGACCTTTCTGTCGATGAAGAGGAATTTTTTCATCACAAGATCATTTCCTGATGAAAGATGATTAATTCCAGGAATAAATGGAACAATAACACTGGAATGGTAATAACTGTTCGACAATTTACGTAATATAGGCAATAGTCAATCCTCGCACTTCATGCCTGCGAGCCAGCCCCATCAGCCACCCGATCCCCTTTTAGTATTCAGGTACTGATTGCCAAACCTCTGCATAGCGGCAGGGTGCAGAACATCCATGGAAAGAGCCTCCAGAGCTCTGTGGGAATTTGTTTGGCAGGTCTGGGAGCTGCAACTCGGAGCAGGTTTTCATGTGGGCTTTTCAATTCAAGCAGTTTTTTTGCAAATAAGGAAACTAGTAGCAAATGGGTAGAGTATACCCGAGCTGAGTTGTTGTTTTGCTGGCTCACTCTGAATTCACTCCGCGATATTCATGATTTCGTATAGATGCAATCTGTGCTAATGATAGGCACAACACAATGACGGTGATTAGGGCTCTTGGCTGGAAAACAGTCATTTTTGTTTGATGTACGGTGGCAGAATAACAACGGCAATATCACGCTGCAACAGACACTACCGGAGTAGGTCCTTACTCATTTATTCAAAAGCTGAAACTGCTGTAGTTTCGCGTTTCCTTTTCGTTTTCATTTTCCGTAGTTTTCTTCTATTTGTGAGATCCGGTTCCGTCTTTTCGATCTCCTGTTATGAAGGCATCGCAAGAGTCAGGAGATTACCATGGCCGTCGTCTTTTTTGAAGACTGGGTTTTTGAGCTGGCAGACGTAAAATTCTCCTATAATCATTGCAGATATATGGNATGGTAATGCTAGTGATAATAGGCTCATCATCAATGCAAAGACCTTCACCCACTGTATATAAGCATGCGAAGTCCCTGGTCGTAAATATCAGAGTTTTTGAATCGGTTCCTAGGAAAGACATTTCTGAAATGCTGAGGGCTTCAAGTCCTAGGGCTACTCAGTATAGACGAGATTGCTTCCTTTCGAGCCAAAGTCCTCAAGATCAGATGCAGGTAGAGTGAAATCTGTGCCATTCAGTGTAGCCGATGCCATTTTCCGGATGCGCCCCGCATTTGACCTTCAATCAAAATGTAGTCGTGAATAGAATGCGTCTTTTGCCTATTCCATGACGTCCACCCGATGTACAATCCATTCATACTATGTTAATCATAAAGCTGCAGAAAACTGACCGTAACGATATTTCTAAAACAAGGAGCCCTATCTCATTCTCATCAACTATGATGAAATGATTATCGCAGTTGATGAGATAATGGTTGAATGGTTGAGTTGCAGGACTTGTAGCTACCACTGCGAAAGGAACCGCTGAATTCCGCAAGTTCCTTCATAGACGGTGTACGATCCAAAATCTTGCAAAGTGGATTTTGCTATTTTCAAGTCGCTCAGGGCAAGGTTCTCCTAATCAGACACTATCTTTAGTCGTTGAGGTGAATTAGGAATCGATAGAACATTCATTAGAGCTTTAAATAATGAAGTGGCTTTTTTTTGGGCACCCAGCACGGCCAATGGCTCTGACATGGGGACGAAAAAAATGAATATGAATTGGAATATCGACTCTTATCCATTCTTTAATTTTCGCCATTAATGAGGCCGTGCTGGGCGTAGTTACTCAACCTTCGTCTTTTATTTGCAGTTTGCGTTCGATAACAGGGTCTTTGGCCTTCCGACGCCAACTTTTGTAGCAACAAATACTCCGAAGCTGTTACGGTAGAAACGATTCTCGCAAAATGTAGCATGAAATGTGCAGCTTAAATGGCTTCGTTGACTGCCTCCAATTGCAATCTATACTTCCCCCTATCAAATTTCATTTACTGGGAATCGGATTTCGTTTAGATGAGCTTTACCTACCCGTCGTCGGACTGGAAATGGGAACAGATTTCCTTGGAAACATGTGGAATCATTGTCTTTGCAACAAATTTTCCAGAATTCAGGTCTATCCAGGTCTGTCATGATTATAAAGAACCTCAAAACGAGTTTTGACCTCCCTCAGGTAAATTCGACATCAGTGGACGATGAGGAAACGGGATGGGATGGCAAAGAGATTTCCAATGGACGTGAAGAAGGGCTTTTGAGGTAGCTGGCCAAGGCCCCATGAGAAAGAACTATTTCTGTTTTTTTCGCTGCTACTTTCTTCTTCTTTTCCGTTGTCCTTTCCTGGATAACCCCTATTCCTTACAAATACCTCATTAGAAAGACATTAAGGAATAAGACATGATCCTATGTTAGCTGGAAAATTGGTCGGCAAAGAGCTATCTCAAAACCTTGTATCCATTTGGCGATCTCGAGACGAAGGTATAGCCAGCGTAAGGCATAACGACAAAACGGNTTCCAATGGACGTGAAGAAGGGCTTTTGAGGTAGCTGGCCAAGGCCCCATGAGAAAGAACTATTTCTGTTTTTCTCGCTGCTACTTTCTTCTTCTTTTCCGTTGTCTTTTCCTGGATAACCCCTATTCCTTACAAATACCTCATTAGAAAGACATTAAGGAATAAGACATGATCCTTTCTATGTTAGCTGGAAAATTGGTCGGCAAAGAGCTATCTCAAAACCTTGTATCCATTTGGCGATCTCGAGACGAAGGTATAGCCAGCGTAAGGCATAACGACAAAACGGCTTCATGAGGTCGGCCTTTGTTCATATCTGGACGTTATCCTTTCAAGGGTGCTGGCCGGTGGCTAGTCGAAGGTATCTGCAAATTGGCCAACTCGCTCAGATGAGGTTCGAGCCATCCGAAGCCCATGAATTGAACTCCGACCCCTCTTTCCACTTCACACGATTGTTTTTGTTATTGCCTGAAAGAGGTAACAAGTGAGCATTGGTATATCTCGCTGACAGAGGAAAGCTCACCCAAGTTCCATGGTCAACTAGCCGTTGTTTTCCCCTTTGTTTGATGCTAATTAACGCTGCAGTTCGCTATACAAATGTTATGCCATTCTATAAACAACAACAACCGCGACGGCAGCGGCAACTGCATTCAGAGTCATTAAACTCATAGGCACTATCCTACTACACCTCGCTTCCAGTTCTTGTTAAAGGCACACTTCACGATAATTTTAAGGTGCCCTTTTTTGAGTCGGAAAGCGGAACTATTGGTTGCCAGTAGTGCAGTGGTAGTGAAGGAAACGAGAAAATTTGCCGTTTTTGCAAAAAGAAGGCCCCAGAAAGGCAACGGAAATAGTGGTTGTGCGAGATTATCATGACGGAAATAAAATGGAACAGTATTTGGACGAGATTTCAGTTGTTGCAATTGCACAAAGAGCTGACTACATCAAGCCGGAACTTCGTTTGAACTCCCGACATGGGTTCCCTTGTTAATGGTGCAACCTGAGCAAATGTACGGATGTCGTCAAAACTCGTCCGCGCATACACACGGGACAATCTCTGAGCCTTTATCACGATCTATCCAGGCTGTTTTGCGACCCGACAGCGCCACATGTATGGCATTCGAGGGTGCCAAAAATTCATCCCAGCGGTATATTTCAGAAGCCACTTTCACCGTAAACTGTGCCCTCTAAAAAAGGAGAACCAGATGAGCTTGCATTTTCCTTAGGATAGCGCTGGTGCACAGAGCAAGTTCAAAAAGGATGGAATCCTAGTTCGAAAGCAACGAGCAGTAGTGGTTATTAGTCGCTCAAGCCACGCCCACCCCTCTTTCAAACGGCGCGATGATTTCGTGGTCTTCGCGCTTGCTCCACTTATCCACTATACCTTCAATATGCCCTTGATTTGCATATCTCTGAACTCTTCTTCCAGTTCCTAGTTGCAGGTGGCTTGTAATTCGATGAAAAGCTCAGTTAAGACCATTTCATCGGTCCCGACGCTATTGTAACCCACTTCAAGGTCAAGGTGTAACTTATTGTATATCCGAAACACCCTGGCCTTTGCATTCCTCCTGGAACAGCAGTAGAGTTCTTGGCAGGAGCGGTTCATCCACTTGGTCCCAGTCTGCCCGGATTCACTCGATACCTATTTCTTACACCTGAAGGTCCGCAAGTTAGGAGTGATTGCAATTTATATTAGTCCAGAGCTGTATCGGTCTATTTTCGAGTTTAATTTTAAGTAAGGCGTCCGTAACCCAGGTGTATACCTCAGAGGTTTCAGGCAATAAAGGACCCTTCTCTGGGCTTACAGCCCAAAGCTAACACGGGTGCTTAGTCCCTAGTGAGCTCAATTTGAGGTGTTGTGCATTGAGTTTGTTTTTATTTACCTTGAAACAGTCTTATTAAGCATCATAAAAGGGCTGTTTAAAATGATCCTCCCCGGATTTGGCTTTGAACCGTCTTTTCCTGCTGGTTTTACTGATTTCCTCTATGTATTCCGTTTTTGCGGTATTTCATGCGTTCTCCTATTGTCGTTTCCTTTTCGATGATTGGCAGCTGCTAGCAGAATGCCTCGTTCGACCACCTCTTTCGTCGCTGGTTATTTTTCATTGTTGCTGAAATGAGCTTGAAGCGACGAAAGATTTTCAGATGCCTCTGGCCCCACTCGGCGATCCGTTCGGCCTCACACCGGAAAATGTGAACACGACACCTTCGCCTGAACAACCACCGAAACCGGTCAGTTCACTTAGCAAAATCGAGGATTCAGAAGCTTATAAAGTGAAGAACCTTAAGCAGTTAATGGAAGCCAATTTTCCGAATTAATTCATGTTCAAAAAATCATTTCAAGGGTATATTATGCGCTTGAATGTCTATCGATAAGAAGTTGTTGAGGATTGTTCTGCAGAAAAGTTATTTTTAAGTACTTCCCTGTGAGGAGCGAATCCGTTTAGTTGGTTTTTAGTGGAATATACTCTCCGCAGCACCGAGAAGCATGAAATCAGAGACAATCAGGTATGAGCATTCGACGAGAAGGCTGAAACCCGAGAGACCTCCTCATTTCGCATTTGAAGTGACATTCCGGATGCATCGTGACAACTGGCTGGAGTTGATGGTAGATCTTACCCCCGGTAGTATCAAGCTCTCTACGAGATCTATGGCAATGCTGTAGGCGAGGCACCTGTGAAGGGACAATAAAGCTTCGAAAATTATAACTGAAGATTGGGTCCATTTTGGTACCAACCGTGTTCAGAGTCACCAGTGGCTTCTCCATTCTGGGATCAGCTCTTCACGGAAGCAATTTGGGTGCATCCGTATCCATTCATGCCTCAAGGAACACTCGTAGAAATACTTCACTCATCAAGGTCTAATTCACCAGAGGACCTCTTCCTCCTCAGCTTCTTTACATTTTATTGCTGAAGACTGCTATGAACCTGGAAGCCAACTCTCTCCTGAGCTCTACTTTTAACTTTAATGAATCTTTTTCTCTAGTTATTGGTTGTCATTTCTCCTACATATCTTTCCCAACCGCTTAATTCCTTTGCATCGCCTGTCATCCCGTTGATCATCGACTTCCTCGAGCACGAGCTAGTATCGTCACCATTCCTGTCTGTGGCTATAGTCCAGTGAACGATCCTTTTGTGAAGAAGGGTGACAATCGCGTTCTCGGCGGCCGTCCTGGTGTTCGTTGGACGGTAAGATGGATCGAATCAGTAACAACCCTGGTTTTTGTCACTGCGAAATCGCATGGTGTGTCCTGCATCTGATTTTCGTTCGTTGACGGAGTTCAAAACTATAGATTCCCATTTCTCTGAAGCGTATATCAAGCTAAGATGAACCGCATTGACAAAAAAGAATGAGCGGAGGACTGGGTGTTCTTTGTTTTCTTCACTACTCCCTCGATATTCTTAAGTGCTCCCCATGTGGCGCATTTTCTTCTTCCTAGCAGTGGGACTAGATCGTTCATCATGGGATTTTTCTACCGAGATACATGTAACTGGAGCATTCAAAAGATGATCGTACAGCTCAAATAGAGCGTATGATATCAATGATCTTCTCATGAAGAGCCTTCGTTGGGTACACTTGTGAGCATATCCCTTCAGACGTCTGTCGAATTCGGTCAGCATTCATTTCGCATGCTTGACATTCAGTATTATAAGCACGATGTCGTCTACAAACGTAGATAATTAGGCATTCTCTACTGTACTGTACAATACTTCAGTGAGTCTTGTAACAGTGTGATCGATCGTGCCGAAACCTCTCCGAAACGCTTCTTGTTCGCTTGGCTGCCTTTCATACAGAGTTCGGCGACCGTGTTATAAGCACACTTCACGATAATTTGGGTTATTTAGTTTAAGACAAATAACGGAAGTGATAGCCCAGAATAGTGAAAAGGTCGCGAAGAACATGCAGAAATCGGCGTATTCAGAGTAACATAGGGCTTCACAAAAAAGGTAAAATCAGAGGTTGGGTGAGAATGTGACGACAGAAGTTGCATGGAAGGGGTATTTGGGCGGGTATTATTTGAGATTCAAAGTGTGCGCCTCTACCTACAGCTAGCTACAGTCAGCTGCCTGCGTGCAAGGTGTGCCTCCCAGCGCGAGTGGTGCAACCTCTGCAGCTTTTACAACGCTTAGGAACTCATCCGCCTTCTGTACGTCTGCTTAGCCGGTTACTAGGGCTTTGTTACGCCCTATCTTGGACGTTTTTCGACCGAACAGCGTCCACTAGGCTATCCATGGGGGTCAAACGTGCTTCAGACGTGGAATTCTCAAAAACCATTCTCAACGTGTACTGTGCTATTAGAAATGACGACTTTGCAGATTACAGACAGCAGGCAGATTGAGCGATAGGGCCGATATCGCCCGGATCTCTGTTCTTATACATACGACGATTAGCCATGCTATTTTGTGAAGTGCCCAGCGCCGAGCCAGGGTTTTGACGGTTTTCATGGCGACACAGCCATAATGCCTGAAATAGGTGCGTGGTTGCTGAAGGAATCAGGCTAGATGTCGTGGATGGCCATCTCCATCAGCCATTCACCTCGTGTGACTGGTCCCTGAAAACGACGAGTGGAAGCCATCTTCATCTTGCAGTATGCGAAACTACGCCGGGCTTTACGAATACACTTCTCGATTTTGGTGGCTTCGGCCATGACTGCTGCTCTCCCCTCTTCAGATCTTCTTTCACCACAACTCTGCACTGCTTCGTAGTTTCGAAGGTCTGCTAGTGGTTTTCTGTATCTCGCGCATTTCTACACTGGCGTAGCAGCTCGAGAGTCGTCGGAAAGAAACATCCGATAGCTACCTGCAGACCATCTGCTATCCTAGCACTAGGGTGTATGCCGATTCGTGCGATTCTGGTTGCGCGCGGCAAATTGCGCGGCGAAATTCGGTAGTATTCGAACGACTCTGACGCCTATTATT